CCCCCAAATCCCTGTTCCCAGCAGCACTGCCTGGCCCAACACCCCCACTGGGAAGAGCTGCCCCAGCCCACAGCAGCAGCCAGCCCAGCCAGCGTGCAAATCCAGGGGCACATGCCCCCCATGCCCTCCCAGGCTGTGTGTCACCCCACCTCCTCGTGCCCCCTGGATGAGTCACTCTTGGCTCTGTCCCATGCCTCACCCTGGCTATGCAGGGCCTGCCCATGCCCCAGCAGTGAGGGAGGGAGCAGGGCAGGAGTGGGTGACAAGTGGAGGCCTGAGGGGCATGTACCCCTCCAGGCCTCTGCTTGTCCCCCACTCCCCCCAGCCCCTGCTCCTGCCTGTGCCTTGCTTCCCCTCTCACCCCTGGGGTCTTGATCTGCACTCCCACAGCCCTTTCCCCTCCCCTTGCCTCTTCCTCCACACTTACCTGATGGGGAGGTGTACCCCCAAATAGTTTTTTTTCCCCCTCCATCATGATCTGCTCCCCCTTCCCTCCCCATAGACTGACCTGTTGGGGTGGGGGTGGGGTGACATGGTAGATCTTGAGTTGCTTTTTAATTCAAAAAGTGATCTCCTACTTAAAGTTGGAGACCACTGCACTAGATGCAACAGTAACTAGAGTAAAATTGTAGTTGTTATGTCTGCTTATTTTCCTTTCTTTCTGCTAGCTTTCTGTTGTCACTAGTGGGAGAAATAAAGTGATTCTAGAATAGAATAAGATCATAGCTTGGTTTACAGCCCATAATTAAAGATGTAGCAGTCCTCTCTACAAAGCAAGTTTGACATGAGTATGTATATTAAGTCTTTTTGACTATACTCGCTGGGCATTTGGGGAAATAGGTGATTTTCATTAAAGTTTTCTGTCTTTTACATGTTCTAACTCTTGTCTTCTCTTCTGTCATTGTTCCTTTTCTTCAAGTTCTGGCTTAGAGGGCTCCCCGAGATGTGAGAAGACCTAGTTGAGAACTTGCTAACGAGCTGAATGGAAGGCAGAATAGAACCGGCCTTAGTTAAATCCTCTGGCTTGACACAGCCTTCCAAAGTATCTCAGGTGTTTTGGAAATGCTTGCTTTCTTCTAGGGAGGCTGGATTACCTGTCTTCTCAACAATGTTCTGTCGCACACAGTAATGATACTGTGATTTCAAGAGGGTTGGTATTGTGAGGGGTTTTGTCCTCTCTTGCTCATGTACGGTATATGTGTGTTTCAGTGGTTTGGGATGAGCAGCATTGCAACATACATTTGGTAAGCGATAAACATTGCGTATTCAACTGCAGTGTATTCTGAGCATGTTGGTGTTCCAGGACATGTTCCAGCATAGAGCTGTGCTTCTCTACATGATTCCTCAATGAAAGAACAATGTTTTAATTTCATGATCAATTGAATTGATTTGGTTTGCCTAAAGGAAATACTACCGCTTTCTTGTTGATTTTAAGGCTGCATTGAACTTCCTGTGCGAGACAATGGCTTCTTTCAGTTTGACAGCCTCTTGATAACTGGATCAGTTGACTTTAGGACTGACTTGTGGTTATTCTTGCAACAACATTGTCAATAGCATCCTGACCTTTACTGCAGTGTCTGGTAGTTAGCCTGGAGGTTGCAACACCAAGCAAGATTCCAGCAGTTATGGCTTTAAAGGTCCTGGAAAAAGAAAGAGCTCTTGTCAGCTGAACATAGGCTCTTTGTGTTCCCAGTGACAATAATTTTCTTTCAGTTACTCAAAGTGGTTTTGTACTCATTACCCCATAATGTAAGGGAAATATATAGTAAAATAGATTAGGGAAAAAAGTGAGCATTGGAGTATAGTTTTGATGTGGGTCATGGGTGTCTTTGTACATACAGCTTGCACAGAACTCTGCCTACTACACTATTGCTTGGTTTCCTAATTAGGTGAAGGATATGTAGGTTGAACCAGCCAGGTCAAATCGGAGCAGCGCAGTAACTGTTCAACGCTAATCCATAGTAGATAGATCTGGAATGGTGTGTTGGTGGGTTCCTTGGATGCAATGCATCTTGCACAGAGGTTTTCAGGCTCTTAAAAAATCCCAATCTAATTGTATTGCATGGATTGCCGTGGACCTGCTACAGTGTTGAAGACCAGTGTTGTATTTCTGTATGCTCCATGATGTTCCACTCTTCTTAACTGTTCTCTGCCCTTTTTTGTGTATTCATTTCTTTTTAGAGTATCAGTGACTTTCCTTCCCAAGAGGATGTGGATGAAATGACAGAGAGGAAAAGTATTAACCCTGACTTTGAACGGGAGGGCCCAGAGTGTTCAGTAGCCTTTAGTGAGAACCAAATATCAACTCCAGCAGAGACTTCACAAAGTCGTGACTTTGGCACTTCCTCTGTAAGCAGCGAGGAGGAGGAGGGAGCTTCTGGCCTCCTTGAGGGCAAGGAGGAGCTAAGATGTGAAAAGGGGGTGTATGCAGGTGCAGAAAAGCAGGCTGATGACTTAGAGCAACCTGAGGTGGAGACCCCTGTAATCCCTGCTTCGCCTCCGCTGCAGCCCTTTGAGAGAGAGGAGGTGGCAGAGGATGTTGAAGAAAATGTTGCAAGAGAGCCACTTAGAAAGCTAAACAGAGTGTGTCAGCACTCGCATGTTAATAATGAGTTTCCTGCAGTCATTCGCTGTTTTCAGGTAGAGAGCTCAGACCTACCCTTTTAACAAATCTCCCTTGTCTTTTTGGAGTGAAACCCCAAACACTGCAGCAAGCACCTACCAAACCTCCAGGAAGAGGAGTGGCTTCCTTGGTGTGAATGCATTCTCTAGACTGATCAGCTAGGTAATCTCTTGCAGTCTATGTGAATGAGGCCCCTTCAGTTTACTTTCAAATACAATGAGATGCACCTCAATGCAAAATGGTCTTTGCCATCTTCTGCTTGAAGTGCCTTGAGTTCCAAATAAGCTCCAAAGGCACAGCACATCTCGCTTCCCACAGAATTAAATGGCTGCTTTGGGCTTTTATGTTTTATTGCAGAAAATAAAGAAACCATCTAAGAGATGCTGAAGGGCAGAGACCTCATGTAGCACAGCAAATTGTAGCACTGATAAGTTTGTACTTAGGCCTCTTCACCTTTTACTCCCAAAGTGGGAGATGTTTTTGCCTGCTTCAGTGTTGCTGAATATTAATCACATTAAATACACAACCACTTAACCTGCTAACAATCAAGATGCTACTGTCAGATTTTTGGAAAGAGGGCAGAATTGATTGATCTGGAAAAACCTTGTGGGTCTTTACTAACTTTATCTCCTCTTTTAATTAATTACCAGGTGGTGGAACAACTGATTATATTTTCTTGTTTCTTTGTCAACATCCAATTTATTTTTTCTTTTAAAAACATGTCTGACATTGATTTAATAAAAGTCAGTGAACTACACATTCAGTAATTTCACAATGGAAATGGCTTTCCATTTGCATAAAGAATAAAGGTACTCTAAGCCATGAATAACTTTTTATTTGTCTATCCAAGTTGGTATTTAATAGAACGAGAGGTGTGGTTTGACTGGTAGTTGGTTGTGGGACTTTATGGACTGGCTTTCCAGTGACTAAAGACAATATTTATGGTAATCTGACAAACTGTTTAACCACTGATGACCTCCTTGGTCTAATTTCAGAGGTCAGCATGTTAGTAGGGTCTGGGAAAATCTCAATGATTTCACTGTCTTACTTTAAAACTTGATCTGGATGGTTTCATTTTTGACCCTATCAAACACTAGAAGCCTAAACGTTACGATTTTTAGGTTGAGCCCTGTTTTCTGAGTCTATGATGCTTTTATCAGATCGTTGTCAGACTGTTTGCCAGCAGCATCATCCACATGTAACCATACTAACTGACCTTTTTTTTTTTTTAAACCTATTTCATAGCCACCCCTAGTGAAGACTCAAACAGTCACCATCTCTGATGTGTCCAATGCTGTGAAAAGTGAAATTCCAACAAAAGAAGTTCCCATTGTTCACACAGAGACCAAGACTATCACCTATGAGGCTGCTCAGGTAGAGATGTTTTGACTAATTCTGTGGACTTACGGAAATGCAGCACTGTAGAAATCTATAGGTGGATTAATCCTTAAAATAAGATGACAGTTCAGAGGTAATTTTCTGGAGTCAGGAGTTTGAGCATGTAGTCAAACTGTATCATAGGACAGGTGCGCAAGGAAATGAAAATTTCCTGATCGTTTAAGCATTGAAGGCTCAAATAACTTAAAGGATCTAGTATTACAGAACTCTTTTTAATTGTTTCAGTACATCTTCAAAATGAAATTGGGTCCCTACTGTTACTCTTTTTTTCCACCCTTTTCCCATAGGTATGCATTCAGATGTTTATATCTGCCTGATATCAATAAAAACTGTTACATCTAGCTACACCTTAAAGTAGCCCCTTTTAATAAGAATCTTTAGCTGTCATTGAATTACCTGTAAGTTTTTCAAAATCGCTCCTTGTGTGAAGTTGTCTCTTTTTTTTTTTTTTTTAATACCAGCGAGTGGCAGTGCTTTGATGTAGACTGTTCAGAACAAACCATATTAGGCCTTGTTCCTGTAAGTGATCTACTGTCTCCCTTGTCCTTCCTATTTGTTGCTTTTATCCACCAAAAGTCTCTTTCCTGTTTGTTCTGTCTTTAGAACTGTGTAGAGGTGAAATACATTGCTATTTTGTAACCTGTTTCCATCCAGTTCTCATCTTGAAGATTTCCTAGTAATCTAAGGCAACTGTTGAAACAAAGAGTGTGCTATGAAAATGCAAATTGTAGTCAGCATCTCCCAAGTACTTTGAAATTATACATTAGAATGAGTTGTGCAACAGCTGCATAGATAAATGTGGTTCCATAGTTAAGATTAAAAATGTAGTCTTCCGTCTGAAACTGGCTTTCTCACCTGCCCCAATTTCAAGCCACTTGATATCCTACAACTGTTATTTGATGGCGGAGTAGAATTTTTCAACTTTTTTTAGCAAAGGTGGACAAGATTGCCCATAATTGCACAGTGCAAGATTCTCGTGTTGTGCAGAACACAGAAACTTTTAGGAAGTCTCAATATTTAGAGATAAGATAGACTAGAGGAATGAAATACTCCAGGCTTCCCAGCTCTCTTGGTCTCCATTTCCATTAGTTTCAAGAAATGAGAATTCTGAAGTAATTCATTTAGGTCAGGTGATACTTGTGTGAGTTGATCTCTTGAGAAACAGTTGGTTTGTAAAATTCCTTAAATTCTGGGGAAGCTAGTCCCACCTAGTGGTGATCCAAGGATTTCATCCTACTGAGAATGATCACTGCAATCCCATGGCCTCCTTTTGTCCATTTACTCTTACAAAACATCCTCTTACCCACTAGTAGTTTTTAATTTGATGGGTTTTGTCAGCAGGCTTCAGAAAAGTTGAGCATTGATGAGAAGACAAGCAGTTAAAATAGTGGCACGTGCTGAACTGGTTTGTTTAATACAGTAGCACTCTGGACCCTCAGTGTGCTAGGCTGTAAGGATGTAAGACATGACATATGAAAGTTGTTAGGAAGTGAGACAAAAGTATCGTCCAGATGTGTATGAAGTTTTATTTTAGGGTCACAAGGTGCCAGCTAAGTGCATATGGCTCTTCAGTTGTCTTTGATTCATAGATTTCAGACATTAGGGCTGGAAGGGACCTCAGAAGATCATGAAGTCCAGCCCCCCTGCCCCAGGGGCAGCAAGTCAGCCAGGGTCAAAGGATCCCAGCAAGATAAGCATCCAAACTTTTCTTAAAAGTGTCCAGAGTAGGTGCTTGCACCACCTTATAGGAGTCTTAAAATATGAGCTTGAACTGCTTACTGCAGGACAAAAGGACACGAGGCTCTCTTGCAGAGCAGCTGCCCTGCAGCACCACTGCCCACATGCCTGCTTTCATTCTGTAATATGTTGAAGTGGGACCATGATAAACTTTGTCCTCAGTGAAAGGGGCCAATGAAACTACCATGATTTAGTTTCTACTTACCCTTAAGTAGGTTAAGGGTAGGGGTTAAGAATGTGCAAGTGAGAAGTTACTGCAAAGCATCTGGCCAGCAGTAAAGCTCTACCCCTTTTGCCCTAAAGTGAATTGTTTATATACAGTAAAAGCTGAGTTATCCAGCACCTTACAAGCCGGCATGCTCTGTTAACTGGCATGCCAGCTTGTAAGGGAACAGTGAAACTGGCACTGTGCCCACTGTGGCACTTCTGGTTTCGCAGAGCCCCCATGGCCCAGGGGAAAGCAGCCTGTACAGGTCCCCCCCCCTCCCTGTCCC